CTGAGAGTAATCTCTGTCCACAGGTCTGCGCAAATGTTCTGGTGTTACGCTTCGTTGACGTGCTGTCCGGCGCCTTGGTTGGTCGTCCTCAAAGCCCATGCGGCCATCGCCATCCCTCAAAGGAGACGCACTGCGATTTCGTAGACGTCCACCTGCCCTGCCCGCTGCTTTGCCACCAAACAGATCATCGCTGCCACGTCTCGCCCTCCGCTGAGGCTTCCGCCCATCCGCGGATGTCGATCGATTTGAGTATGTCACTTCTCCGGCATCATCGTCATACATATTCACATCGAATCTGTCTCCATCCCTCCTTCGTCGATGTTCCCGATCATCGAATCTCCTTCGCTTGTAGTCACCTCGCTCATCCCGCCTTGCGTCGTTCCGTTCTCTCCTCTCTTTTGGGTCCTTATCTGGATTCATCAGATAGAACCGACTCTGTTCGCGCGCTCGCGGCACCTTCTTGTCTGCGACTGTAGCTTGCCGAACCGTCCAATCGCCGGGTGTGTCTCGCCATGAAAGTGGCTTTGCTCGACGCGCCTCCCGAGGCTGTATCGATGCTAGATCCACTTGGGAGTCATCCGTGAAGGCTATGAGTGCTTGTGTAGCAGCTTCTGAATCCGTGTAGATGATGTTCGCAGACTGGTCGTTTATCCACTGGACCTTGACGAAGTGCTCTGTAGGATAGTATTCAGATACGAAGCGTTCGATGTCTTCGGTAGTGAGATCATCTAATCCCCAAATGAAGACTTTGTCTGGAGCTGCGTCGGTTTCCATCTCTGCGGAAAGGGCGGCGGCAGGACTGATTCCGGTGATCGGTGGTTCTGATCCAAAGCTCTACATTGTTCCTGTTTTAGCTAAGAAGCAGCTGAAATATGTAAAAAGAAGGCGAACTTACTTGCGTTATGGCCGCATCTTCTCGAGTAACAAGCTCCGGGTCGCCAGTGAGATCGATGTCCATTTCATCGACGTCCATTGCGCCCGCGTCGGTTGAGTTGAAAGCCTCAGACTGGCCGAAGCCATTTGAGGAATAAAGAGGCGCTGCCGTATGAACCTCCATTGTGATATGTGTGGAGGAAGGTTGAAGGTTGGAGGGGAATTGTTAAAGTTGTGCCTGGGCATCGCGTCACTTCGCGAACTTCCAGGAAGAGAAGCTGGAGGCGCGCCAAGCTTCCAAGCCACCCAGCCACACGGGCCCACTATGTTCCTGATCCGTCTCAGTGCTATGAATGGAACATCAACGTCCTTCAATATAGCAATTCCGGTGGAAGCAGAATTCAAATCTCTATTTCAAACTATTCCTTATGGTTACCGCTATTGTTCGTAGAATTGAGCGCCTATAGTGCCAATATCAACCCTGAACCGGCTCCCAATGCCTTCTTGCACTTGCCAACGCAAACATTTCGGTGCTGCCACACATGCTGATAGTGTAGAGGTTGGGTCTTATTATCGAACAACTTATCTCTTAGATAATCAATTAATTGTAAAGAAAATCTAAGACTTTGTCGTAAAGTCTGTGGAAAATGTACTATGAAAGTCTCTACTAGACCTTCTAAGACAATACTTATAATTATGTTGCAGTAATTGACCTGGGAGAGAGTGCTATTCTTTGTCACACTAGCTTCCGTGAAGGCCTAATAGCAATATATTTACGATTCGCCGAGAACATGCTTCCAGGTTACAAATACGTATCAACGAGCCTAGCATCGTTCCTCCGGTATAGCGCGGCACATTTCGGCAATTGGATATCCATCAAGATAGCACCTCCTCAGGAGCCAAAGGTGTGATTAGTATACAAATGCAAAAGAGTTTCACTCCAAACGATTCAATTTGGCAATTAGCTACAAGGCTGGATACATATAATTGATAACTAGTAGGACTGTCTGGGAGTGGTCTTAATCCTGAGACAAACGAGCAATTAGCCATTAAATGGCAAATGCACCACTTAGACAGCACGACGATAAATTGGCTCGACCTTATTGGTAGAACATCAGAAAAGAAGGGCTACTCTCGCGCGGGGACTTGTGAAAAGTAGTGTCTCAGGAGTATGCGTTCCGAGGTCCCCTAAATTTCTAGAGTTGATACTCTGCCTTCAAAAACGCTATTACAAAAGACGACGAAAGAAAATCCAAGTTCTCCAGTCTTTATTAATTTTGAAATCATGATGGAGAGTTCAAGTGGCCAGTGGAGGTCGTAAATTCCACCGAATAAGGACCGTCCAACAGGCGGCAGAACTTTGCCGGTGGGTGTTCGTCCCAATCCAGAGCCGAGGTCGCGTCGACGGTCGAGGCGGCAATCTGGGGAATCGAAACGCCGCATGTGGAGAGACGTCCACCTTTGCCGGTGGGCTGGGGCGAATATCATCCTAACCTCCGCTGCTGTTCTTATTTCTTTGAATCGAAGCTGTAATCGACTTGACCGTGCTCTCTTCGTTTGTGCATCATCTCGTCTTCAACAAATTTCATCTCTCCGTCCTTACCGTGCCATATCCCCACAGAGTAAGCCGCAAAGATGGGCAAGAACAGACAAGCGCAGCCAGTCTACGTGCTGGGGGTGGGCATGACGAAGTTCGTCAAGCCCCGTGGCAAGATTGACTACACGGAGCTGGGCTTTGAAGCTGGTGTCAAGGCCATGCTGGACGCTAAGATTAATTACGATGATGTTGAGCAAGGTATCGCATGTTACTGCTATGGCGACAGCACCTGCGGCCAGCGCGTCTTCTACCAATTCGGCATGACCCAGATCCCCATCTACAATGTTAATAACAACTGCTCGACTGGCTCGACCGGACTGTACATGGGCAAGACGATGATCAGCCACGGTGCCGCAGACTGCGTGCTCGTCGTCGGCTTCGAGAAGATGTTCCCAGGAAGCCTTCAGACCTTCTTCCAGGACAGGAGTAATCCGACCGCCACCTCGAATCTCGTCCTGAAGGAGACTCGAGGTATCACAAATGCTCCCGGTGCTGCACAGCTTTTCGGCAACGCTGGACGAGAGTATATGGAGAAGTGAGCTGAATTCTCTCCCGATCCATTGATAGTCCGAAAGTATTGACGCATTACTTGATAGGTTCGGTGCAAAAGCAGAAGATTTTGCAGAGATTGGACGCATCAACCACGCACACAGCAAGAACAACCCGTACTCCCAGTTCCAAGATGAATACACCCTCGACCAAATACTCAAGTCGAACATGATCCACGCCCCTCTCACGAAACTCCAATGCTGCCCAACATCTGACGGTGGTGCAGCTGCCGTTCTCGTCTCTCAAGCCTTCCTCGACGCCCGTCCTGAACTCAAGTCTCAGGCCGTCCTGATCGCCGGTCAAGTCCTTGCTACCGACAGCCCCAAGCTTTTCAACAAGAGCAGCATTGAACTGGTCGGCTACGACATGTCCAAGACGGCATGCCAGAAGGCTTTGTCGGAGGCGAATGTTGGTGTTGACCAGATCAAGATTGTCGAGCTGCACGACTGTTTCTCTGCAAACGAGATGGTTACGATAGATGCCCTTGGGCTCTGCGAGCATGGTAAGGCGCACGAGCTCGTCCGCCGTGGCGACATTACGTTTGGTGGCCGCTATCTCATCAACCCGTCTGGAGGTCTGATCAGCAAGGGTCATCCTCTTGGTGCTTCTGGTATCGCTCAGTGTGCTGAACTGGTCTGGCATCTCCGTGGATGGGCTACGAACCGTGCGGTGGAGAATACGAGTGCTTGCTTGCAACACAATCTGGGCCTGGGTGGCGCCGTAGTCTGCAGCGTGTACAAGCGCGCTGATGGCAGGCCTGCGCCCAAGGTGTCTGATGCTGAGGTTGCAAAGATCACTGGGCTGGGATACAATCCAGCAGTTGTGGCCAAGGGCTTCACAAAGGAAGAGGCCGACAGAGTTCGGAGCAAGTCCATGAGGAGTGATTTTGCGCTGCAAGATGTTGAGCAGAAGGTCGAAGCCAGATTCTAAAGGAGTGGTGATCGAATTGTGTTAAAAGTACTGGAGAGCAATGCATAATGTTCGACGAAATTGATAGCGTTTAACGGTTGGCCAACTTGAATGTATGTATGTGATCGATTCGATCTGAGGCCCATTCCAGTTTATCGAGAAGAAATTCTCTGCCAATGATTTCTCTTTGTGATTCTTCTTAGACTGCTGTATCTCTCTTTATTTATTGCGTAAGGCTAAAGCCATAATCACAAGGGAATTCAGCATCCGCGTCTACTAGTGACCCTTGCAACGTCCTTGAGCGCCGCATGATAGCGAAGCAGGCCGATCGGGAGGGCATATTCGCCATAGATGTCTGAGGCCTATGCCCGCGTAACAGATTTCTTCGGAACTTCTCCGTAGAGATAAATGAAAAATTTGTAACGACGAAGCACGATCTGGCAAAGATCTCAAATCAAGCAACCTTTGTCCCCTAAAGACATTAAAATTAAAGCGGGTGTACGCATGATGAAAGGGGATCTTTATAAACGTGCAGAATGATCTAAAAGTCAAAGCCCGATTAGTTGCGTGAATAGGTTGTTATGGTACCTGGGTACCTACCCGGACACCCTACCTAAAACAAAAAAATACGTATTTAACTTAGCTCTTCAAACTGGTTTGCTGGCTTTAATATAACACAGATATACGGGGCAACTTGCTTAGGTAGTTCTCTTTCAACACCTAATTGTATATCGTTACGTGTTACTTGACCGAGGATCGAATTCGAAGCTTTATTTAAGATACAAGTCATCTACAATAGTTCTATTTAAACACTAAGTCCTATATCGTTACGTGTTACTTGACCGAGGATCGAATTGGGCGCTTTTGATTCGATGCATCGCGGCTACATTTCCTCCGAAACTACGGGAGTGCAATTGCAACTCCCAACTTGATGTGCCTTGGTGGATAAACAGAAGATGCAACGGTAGTTACAACGAATGACCTGCCCTGCTGCATCGGACTTAGAAAGTTGCCAACTGCCTAAGTTGCATTGATAATATTCAACATTGGAAAAAATTTTCATTGGTTTTTAGGACGCGTGTTCTAATGGTTATGATTTCCGCTTCACACGCCTTGCACGGAGAAGCCGCGGAAGGTTCCGAGTTCGATCCTCGGCGTGTCCTTTTCTTTTGGTTTTGGTTTCTTATTTATTTAGGTGGCCGTGATAAAAATAAAACAAGTAACTCTTTTTTGCGTATTTGTTGTCAATGCGGTACGTCGGTAATGACTGAAAACGCCTAGAGTAGGTGGGAAGCTGCGAACAACTTCTAAACTTTGCCGCATGAACTTTCAGACTTACACGTTACGGAGTAAAAGCTTGCCCAGAAGAATAATCTTCACTTTAAACGAGTAAAGACTTCAGTAAATTAAAGACATATTGACAACATAAAAGTCACGCATGTGCCTGCTACGTTCATGGTCTCTCGCTCCTATTCGATCTCGGCGGCGCGTCAACTTCCAGCGCGTCCTTTTGAATTTCACAGTCCAACATCCGTCACTTCTCGCTATCACTCAATCGCTCTCCTCCTACTCTTCATCACCGTCTTCCTCTTCCTGTTTTACCACCTTTAGTCGCTTTGCCACGCAGCTTGAGTAGGAGCCGTAGAGTACTAACTTGAGCGTGATCATAGCGGAGGGATGGCATGTAGAATTGTTGGATAGAGAGAGCTGGAGTTTGCGATCTCTGGTGCTACGACGTCTACGAATAACCGTCGGGCTAGTCCAGTTTGCGAGCAGATGTTGTGCATTGATGAAGTGAATGGATGGGTTCGACAAGCCATACAGTGTATTGAAGGCTTGTTCGAGAACAGTGCTTATCTATCAATCTGTTTTGCAGAGCCAGGCTGTCGAGAAGGGATTCCTCTGGATTGTGTTGGAAATCAGCGAGGACCGGACGGTCCGGATAAGCGTGGTATATGGTCTGATAGCGGTTGAGACGGGAAATCCGTTGAGAACGATAAAGTCGAGTGCACTATATTATATCGACTACACAGATATGGAACTCAAGTACACAAGGCAATAATTCCTCATGTCATTTCTGTTCAGTTGACAGTTCCGCTGGTCTCACAAATGCTTCCAGTTCGGCTTTGATGTGGCTGAGTCACAGATCCGGAAGTCCTTGTGCCCGACATGGTGTAGAATAAAGAATTGGCCTGTCCCCTGTGGACAGCCTGGAATCGCAAGTCGGCGCAATCGATGGCGTCGCCGTTAGAGTTATAGTGAATGGTGCTATAGCCGTAGGAGTTGGAGATAGAATAAGCCGTAGCTCAACTCTGTCTGGATGTGATCCAGAGTCCGAGCAGCAATCGGTAGTGTTCGCGGCGCAACGCCATCGAATCGTGTTCCAGGAGTCTACACAGGGTGTCAGTTGTAAGTTGTCCTACCTCAGCTCACTAGCATCGCAGCTCTCGTTGGCGGTCGTCCCTGAGTGTCTCTCATGTGTCTCTTACGTCCGATCCGCAAACATCCTTTAAGCGTCCGTCCCAAGTCTGGATTTACAACCGTCGGGCCAGTACTCATACTGTCCCGCGCCGTGGTTGTCAATGAACATGAGTTGGCAAAGACTGTTGGGAAGGCAAATGTCGCGAGGCTCCTCAGAACCGTGACCCGGAGTCGTTGCTAGCGAGCCTTGCCCTGAAGCAATTGTTCGATTTGTCGGGCGAAACATTGATGTTGCTCCAAGAAGCATGTTGCAAGGCTGCTATACATAGTGTCCCTTATCCTCGGCTGGGGTGCCGTCCACTGTGAAGCAGTTGAAAACCGCGGCAAAATCCAAGAAGAGCAACATACCCACGTGTGGATCCCATTGTCTCGAAAGTAGATTGGAGAGGAATGAAGGTTTTCAGTTTCAGAGAAACAAGAAAAAGCGAAATGCACAAGATGGAAGCTCCTTCAGCTTTTCATTTTGTGGGATAACATGTACTATACGCAGCGAAATGCCGTTCGGTTCGTAGAGGTGCGCCTTCGAATGTCCAAACTGTGCATTACTCGGGCTCTTCGAACGCCATCTCCGTAGAGATGTGACCATGAACGGAGCTCTAGTTCGTGTAACAAGGCCAGAACTCACACTGGCGCAGCTTGTATTTGTCAGAAGACGAACGGTATCAGAAAATGGTGCAGTGGGATGGCGACCGCAGCATGAAGCAATGAATTACATCAAAATGAGATGGGGGAATAAGAGAGCTTGCAAGATGCGACGGACGAAATTGTAGCAGATGTCAGCATGATCAGAGAGCGAGCGAAATTCAAAGAACTGTCACTGGTACCGTTCCAGGAGGGCGCTCGATGGGAGGCGCTTCTACCTTCCGCAAGCAAATGTTAAGACACAGCAGGTTTCTTTGTCCTAGGACGGATGATGTAAACCCGCTCTCAGCTTGGCTCCAAGCCGATCAGTACTACGAAGTAGAGGTGGCGGTGCAGTGACTTCTGACATTGTCAAGGCATTGATTTATGTGGAACATTGTGAGCGGAAGAGAAGGACCTTGCGACTTGGCGACCTTGGAGCGTAGATCTACACAAGCGTAAGAACGACTGTATTTCACACATTATTTGAACAGCGGTTTCATGGTGACAACCATTGACAATGCAGGATAGTTTGACAAATAAGTGAGTTCCAGACATGAGATCAAGTCTTTTCTTCAACTAGCTAGCTACTGCTACACTTCAGGTTTCATACATCGAATGCATTGCCTTTCCATCAACACGTCAGAAACACATCCCCAAGCTACCCCCGGCTGTCCGTCAGGTATCGGTCGCACAAAGAGCACAAATCGAACCCAGGATATCAAACAAATCAAATCAGACCCACCAACACCAGAGCAATAGAGCCACGAGAGACGCCCAGAACCCAAAATCGCAGCAGTAAAGTCATAAAATCATTCAAACCAAGTAACTCCGTTATCTAGGCGGCGCACCAGCACCATGCCACATGTTCCACTCCCCTCCTTGCGGCAGCGGTCCTGACGAAGGTGCCGCTGTTGTAGCATGATATCCCGTATCCACCTGAGCATAGTCTTCCTCAGAAGCATATGGTGGCCGGCTAACCCCTGCAAACGGATGTGCTGCCACTCCGCCCTGAGCCATATGCGGCTGCTGGTCTACCAGCGGGCTGATTACCACCGGAGAGCTGCCTGTCCTGCTCGCTGGGCCAGATGAGTTGTGCGAGTGGATCGGAGGTGGTGGTGGGTCATATCGATACGGACTCGGGTCGCGGCCTGCCATTGAGGGCTCGTACGAAGGCGGGTACGAAGGCGGATACGACGAGCCGTACTGATCATAGTTCGAAAGCGTTTGGTTCAGGCCAAGATCAGAATCATTAGACTCATACGAGCCCATTCCAGGCCTGTAGGCCGGATGCTCTCTCAGGTCAGGTATGGCGCTCGGATTCGATTGCGCATGGCTCAACAAGCCGGTCATGTCGTCGTGTGGATCTTTCCCATCGCTAGCTCCAGATGGCCGTGGCTTCGTAACTCCATATTGCATCGCTGGCTCCCCATTCCCAGCAAATGTCGGACCGTTGTATACATCGTCTACGCTATCTCCCGGCTTCGTTACTTTCATGTGATAGCTCTCGTCATTCTCTCTCTTCCTGTAGCCAACAAAGAGCCATCTCATGCTTCGCGCAAGTGCTTTGACGATATCCCAGGGATTGAATGCATCAATCAGGGCGTAGAAGAAGCCATGGTACTTCATGCTTGGATCGCTTGCATTCGCAGGGTTTGAAATATTGTACGGCTTAGAACTGAAAGCGAAGATGTGGAGAATTGCAAAGCAGGCCATCTCAATGCAGAGGAGCATGGACGGAACGCCAGTATTGAGGTCAGGGTAGGCGATGTGCTTTGTGGGTTGTAAGGGGCCGTGAGATCCGACCAGAAACCCTATCAAAAACTGTGTTCATTCGTTAGCTTTGCGCCGCGCTTCAGGCTTTGAGAGGCCGAACTTACCGTTTGCCAGAAAGAAAAGAAAATGACCAACTTGATACACAAAATTTTCATGAACGGCTTGTAGGGTGCCAAATCGGTCCTTAGCTGGAAATAGAACTGGATGAGGAAGTACATCGCAAAGGAGACCGCCACACCCTCGAATACCGTAGCCCAGATGTGTGCGAATGCTGGACTAAGAGAAGGTTCACAGTAACGTCCGAGGAATTGCGTGATCAGCGAGACAAAGGTGAATATCACTCTGATCGCGCAGTACTGAAAGACGCCAACCCAGATAATGTTGAACCATGTCAGCCCGCTGCGCGGGACTCTGAACGGTCCACGATTTTGGCCACCGCTGCATTTCTGGAGCCACGGAACAGGCCAGATCCAGTTACGCGGTTGGAGGCGGCGGAAGTAGTTCTTTTGTTCGTGTAGAGTGGGCTCGAGGTAGTGACAGAGAAGGGTGAAGAAGGATGCGATCGCGAAGGCCTCGTAACAGTCTCGGATGACCTCCCAATAGATCGCGTATTTGTAGAAGAGGTAGGATAGGAAGGAGACGATCGCGTATATGGGGATCATAAGAAGAATACGGATAATACTGTTTAGAGAAGTCTTGTCAGCCTTGGTTGCGCACAGAAATTGTCGTCTTCCCGGTGCCAAGAAAAAGGGAGGTGGTGAAGATGGACATACTGTCTCTGCTCCCACGGTTTCGAGTAGTGTGTTGCATGTTGTATTATGAGCACTAAGGCGATTATACAGGCTACCAGGCCGAATGCTGCGGAAATGGCGAGGCCAAGGTGGTGGAAGGTGACGCTCCCAAAAAGAGGTATCTCCTTGGACACTGTTGGACAATCAGCACACGTCTGTTGAGTTTTAAATCTCCGACACTGGACCCACCCATCTTGTCGCCATTCTCCTCCACTGTGTTATTACAACTTGACATTTTGACTTCTTGAGGATGCGGTCGTAAGACGGGGTGAGGGCGGTAGCTGGTACGTAGGGGGCACGGGGGTGACGCGGTGTAGTGTCGCCCACATATGAGCGCAAAAGTTGAGGGCGAGGAGGTTGGCTTTGTATGATGCGGGCCGGTAATAAATGTAGTCAGAAGGTGGCTCGGTAGCGGATGGTGAGACTGAGAGAGGTAAAGAGTAGGGTCGTGTATGTAGGTCGGAAGCAAGGCTGGCGTGGGCAGATCTTTTGTT